TCGGGGCTTTATCCGAGGGTTTCAGAGCATTATCTGGGGATTGGCTCCTGAGAATTGAGTGTGTATTTTGGTTGGATTGTTTGAGCTGATTTGTCGGTGAACAAACACGCCAAGGAGACACTTTGACCTTTGATTCTGGTGTTTCTTGATCTTTCTTCGGGGTCTTGACGTTGTCATTCACCTTGTACTTTAGCACCCCTCTTGGGCTTTGCTGCCCCTTTTTCTCTTTGTCTTTAAGAGGAGTGTTTGGTGATGCACAAGACTTCAGCAGTTCCTTCTCTTTAATCTGAAACTGTTCTATCTGACGCTGTATCGTCTGAACTCCAGGGGTGTCCTCATCTGAGGAGGCTTTTCTGTCCCCCTGCTGTGCATTTGATAAGAGTGGCTTCACTTTAACTAGATGCACTGATGGGATGTCCACAGTCCTGTCCCTCAGACATATGGCCGACCTCGAGCTCACTAATTCCAAGTTGTAGATCCGACTCATAGCTGTGATGGTGTTGGGGTGCGGCTGCAATGGGGAGAGAGAATTCTCAGAATTGAGAGGCAATATATTTTCCTCTACCTTCTCCTCTGACTGCTGCTGTATCTCCTCCTCCTCCTCCCTTCCTTTTTCTCTCTTCTCAAGTTGGGCCCTGTGTCGCTTTAGCTCTTCTTCCACATGTTTCAGGGGGTCATTTTCGTCCTCAGATATCAAGAAGCTGTCAGAAATAACTCCGGTGGTAGAAGTTGTGTAGCCGCTTGGTACTTCCTCAGCTCTGATGGCTTGTGAGACAGAAACAGGAAGTTGAGGGCAGGTTTTTAACACACTTACTTCCTGCGTGACGTCAAAAGCAGTCGCGGTTGTCTGCGCTGCTTCGTCTTCCTGTCCCCTCTCGGCTTCGATCGACTTCTTCTGCATGTGAGGTGCAGCTTCCCTCTCTTTCTCTATTGCTGTTGTGCTCTCGTCATGCTTGTCCCCGGCTGTAGGAGTGTTTTTTATGTCTGCAGCTTCACTCCCACTTCCATTTTGCGCCTCTATTTGTCTCAGAGTCTCCAGCTCTTTTTGTCTAATTTTCTCTCGCAGGGACTCAATGCGGCTCAGGGGTTTTCCAATCCTCCAGCTATCCCTCCTCTCAACCCCTTTACCTCCTTCCCAGTTGCCGCTTTGAGCCACAGACTTTTTTCTCTCTGCCATGTCTTCGGCAACATAAAACACACTCCTGGGGATTTGAATCTCAAGGGGCCCTGGAGAGATCCCCATGGGTGGAATCCTTTTTGGAGATCTGGGCTTTACATCATGACTGAGATTATCTGATCCAATATCCTGATATGAGCCTTGGGACTTGTCAAACACCCTTTCTCCTCTGCTATAAACAGTTGTGTCTCCTATTTTTTCTATTTTATTTATAAGCTCCTCTGTGTGTCGGGACAAAACAGAGTGTGTTGGGAAAGGTCCTTGTGTACCACTCCACTCCGGCCCTCTGTTGGGGTCCCTAGATCTCTCTGTGACAGCACAGAGGAGACTGGAGCACTCTGTGAAAGCTGATGCAACGTGACTCTTCAGTGAAGGTGAAGGTGGGATTATGCCTCCAAATCCCTCCTTTTTGCGGAAATCCGACACCTTTCTTTTGCAAACTTGCGCTTCAATCTTTCCCCCTGCCTCTGAATCTTTTTCATCATTAATTTCCCTTTTTAAAGTCTTCTCACCTGTCTGTCTCTTTACCTCAGCTCTTGCTTTCCCGTCCTGCCTGATTGTAACTCTTCTAGCAAACGAGATTCCTTCTGTGTTCTTGACCGATGCCACTGTGAACCCCTCGTCTCCATCCGCATCACATGCCCTTTCCGCAGCCCTTGTGTCAACAGGCGTCACTTTCTTAACTTTGTTGCTTTGTTCGACGGCAACACACATTTCTGATGTATTTCTCTTTTGCATGGGCCCCTCGTTTTTATCCATATTTTGTAATTGTCCATCTATAAGCTTTCCAAACCGGCCTTTATCTGAAAGCGATGTGCACCCCAGTTTGATCTTTTCTGTGGTTTCCTTCCCTACGGCTGTAGCGTCAACCCATGCCCCTACGCTCTTTTCTGAATTTACCCTCCCACACCTTCTCCTTTCATGATGCCCATTGTCATCCAAACCATTCTCCTTACCGCTGATGACTCGATCAGAGAAGCTTAATGAGCGTTTTGGCACACCTTTCAACATCAAGTTTCTCCCATCTGACACAGACTGCTGGTCATCTTCATCTCCAGAGTATTTCCTTCTCCCGGGCCGGAGTAAATTATCAGAGCTTTTTGATCGAGACGGAGGCTTGGGGTGCTGTCCAAATTTACTCAGCAGCTGACTGACCCTCCCTCCTCTTTCAACAAACACGTTGTCGTCCGAGCTTTCCTCCCTGTCGTCTTTTATAACTGTCGCCTGGCCCCATGGTCTGTCTTTGTCTTTTTCTCTCAGCCAAGACATGTCTGTTTTGATCTCCCTGCAAAAGCTCTTCCTCCTTTCATCCATGCTGCATTTGACCTCTCCATCCTCTCTACCTGATCCTCTCCCTCTCCCTCCTCCTTCTGGACTCCTCTCTTCAGAGCTTGATGAAGGCTTTATAATCAGAACCTCAGAGGCTCGGATCTCTGTTATGCTCCCTCCTCCGGCCAGGATCTCCCTCAGGTCCATCTTCATGCCTCTCTGCCCCTGGTGGTCCTGCTCAGGCCTCTCTCTCTCCACCTCCCTCCATCTACCCCTTCTCTCATCGCTGCCTATCCTGTCCTGCTCGATGATGATGATGTTGTCGGCTCGGAAGGTCCGAAAACATGATTGTGGATCTGTTTCCTTTTCCTCCCCGTCTTTTCTGACTTTGAGGAATTCCCACTCCCTGTTGTCATCTTTAACTGACTCTTTCCATTGGTTGCTGTTCTCTCTTTCTCTTCCTTGACTCCTGTCTCTGCTCCTCTCTTTTTCCCGTCCTTCACTCACATCTCTGAATCTCTCTATTTTCATCTCTACATCCCTTCCCAATCCCCCATCTTGACTGCTTGGGCTTGATTTATCTTTTTCCGTCTCCTTGGCTTCTGTCTCATCCACTCCGTCTGCATCCTGGCCCTTCCTCCATGCACTTTGTGTGCGGAAAAATGGGTTTTCATGAACTGGAACTATAGCTTCTTCAAACACCTGACTGGCTGGTTTGATGTCTCCATCTTGCCATAACCCCGGGTCTGGACTAAAGGAAAGTTCGCTTTCCAAATTGACCGTCCCAAAGCTGTCGGTGTCACTCAGACCATCAGAAGCAGATCTGACATCCACCTGCAGCAGACAGACGTCCGTCTCCTTTTCCCTGTCACCCAAACTGTCCAACCTCGCCTTTCTCCTCTGGATGATGCCTCGCTTCCAGGCGGGCATGCTGGCATACTTTTCCTCCTCCTCTTTCTCCCTCCTTTCGCGATCCTCCTCCTCTCTCTTTTTTCTCTCCAGCAGGAGTTGTTTCCATTCTGGCAGAGAGGTGACAGACATCACAGAAAAGGTCGGGGACAAGACGATCGCTGTTCTTCTTTAGGGCCTCTGGGAATTGTCTGTAAATAAGGAAATGATTAATCAAATCAATTCTCTCTCACAACCATGTTAAAAAGAGGTGTACACAACAAAAATATTAAACTTTAAGGAAATGTAAAACTCTATAAGAGTATTATCAAATGGATATATGTTAAATACTCCTTATATATTATTATTATTATAAAAATATGCAAATCAATGTAAAATCACCTTGTGGGACAACATTCATCAGCACAACCTGCTGTCCTAGTTTACCGTTTGTTTAACTTAGTACAACTTTTAACACAAACATTTGAATAAACTTAAAATGTGTTTGCTACATATTACCAAAAAACATTGTTGATTCTGTGTGTAAAATCAAACTCACCAAAACCCCAAAGATATCAGTGTATCCGCCTCAGATGTCATCTTGACTTGTGTCTGTCTCGGCTAATGCGCTCCCCTCCTCCTCGAGGACAAAATCTCCTTCCACAAACAGATTAATCTCTTCTGTCGAAACAGTAGCTTTTTAAAAGACGTCAAATCACCCCACGACCTGACTGTGCATCAGAGCATGTAAACACCTCCGTCCTCGGTATAGTAGTAAATATTTCCAGCCTCGGAGCAGCAGCACTGTAATCCTATAATTACATTAAATTCTGTCAGGAGAGTTTAGTGGCACACACCATATTGTCGGACCTAAGAAAAGGCGTTTAAATAACACAGCCGTCTGCCCGGGCAACAACCCCCACCCTCGCCTCGTCCCATCCTCCTGCAGGGCTAATTGGAAGAGAGGTGGAAGGGTGTGTGAATAAAAGCTGCAGGCCTGATCTACTTCCCTCAGATGGCATGTTTTTAAAGGACTATTTTATTAGTTTCAGGAATTATTATTTGCAATTTCATGTCAGGACACAACATGCAACTCTCCCTCCTGTTACGACATAATTACTCTGTAGCTGTTAGTTTGACAATAAAGAACCTTGAACCTTGCTTCAGCCATCTAAGGAACGAGACTAAGGTCTTAATTTGTAAAGATGTGAATATAAACTAAATCCACCTGAAATGGTTCAAATAAAAAAAGAGGAAACAAGCCAGTAAACATCTTGATAAATGTAACATGATACACAACAAAATAGGCATTTAAGTGTAAATAGGACAACTGCAGGTATAACGTTTTCCTAGTAATGCATTTAACATATTTCATGGTTTATTTCTAATTATTTTATTTTTGCAATCAGGAGGCTCAATTTGTTTACATTATGTGTTTCTTAAATTATTCACATAAACAGTATTTGACTAAATATGACTCCCTGTTATTTAATGTCTGCTCCGACAATTGTTTTTTAATCAAAGATAACAGTACTTTGAAGTTTGAGAAATAATAAATGGTAAATAAAGGTATTCTGATCTGATTAATGATGTGGGCAAAGAATACTAACTGTGTTCAATTGGTTCATTATTGTTGATGTGAACCCACCACAAAGAAATACATTCATTATCTCAGAAATACAATTATTTATTATTGAAGCTGTAACTTGTGAAAAACAAACAGCTTTTTGTGCTTTTACCAGTGTGAAATCTTAGTTTGACATTTAATAACAATTCCATTTTAAATGAGTGTGCACGAATATAGCGTAAGTGCAGATGGCACATGGAAAGTAAAAGCCTATAAAAAAGAAACTATACGACAAACAAAATAAATTCTGTTAAATTGCATTACTTTTCATATGAAATATAAAATAAAAATTATATTATTGCAATAAAAGACTAACCTGATAACCTTAAGTAATCTTTAAATTGTAACATATAAAAATATTCTCAAAAATATAAAAGAAACTACAATGACCTGGGATTCAGATCCACTCCAAAATGAAAATCCAAAAAGTAGTTTTTACGTAATCTTGTTTACAAACAAACAAACCAAAAACAATAATCATCTAATCTCCTTGGCCGAGGTAACAATCATTTGTTCAAACTGTAAAACCTTTTGCCTTAAAACTCTCGCTTTCTAAAACTACATATACAGTGAAATGTTTAAAAAAATACAGTGTCAAGTTGAGTGTGTCTTTTGCAATTTCCAGAAATGGCCAGATCATCTTTAGGCTCATTGAGAAGTCTGAACAATATTTGATTCATATAAAAAAACAGCAGGCAGCTTCACAACGCAGTGGTAAGAAGACCGTTACTTCACTTCTCCTTGGGGTCGTTGGTGCTGGTGCTGCCGTGGTGCGGCTCAGCAAAGACCTGCAGCTTGCTGTTAAGCTGGACGCAGAGGTAGGCTAAATCCTGTTTGTCCAGAGAGTGTGCCAGGGCCAGGTAGGACGACAGAGTCCCCGCCAGCAGGAGCCTATCCAGGGACAAAGCTGGCAGGAGCCACAGCACGACGCCCAGCTCCAGGCACACCGGGTGGCGGAAGTGAGACAGGAGGCGCTGGGCACCTGGGGACTTGTGAGACAGGGGGTCTCCTAAACCGAGACACTCGTAATACACCTGAGAGAGAAGAGGTAAAATAAGGCCAAGCAGCAGCACAGACATTTTTTAGAAGATGTCATCACTGTCACAGATTCCACACTTCCTGTATGCTACACCCAGTTTGTTCCTATTATAATATCATAAAGATATGAATTATTGGCAGTTAAATTAAATATAATGTTGATCCTCTTGATGTTTTATCTGACCCTGCTCAGGTTTGTTCGGTATGAAATATTTGGGGTTAAAAGTTCAATTCTGCCTTTAGACACAAATGGGTAGTAATCTAAACTAATCCCAATTTGAGATGTCGTCAGAGTTATGTTTTTTAATGCACATTTCTTTGAATACCTTGTGTAATTATTGTTCAGAATTAAATGGTACAGTACATCTTGCTCAACTTGTAACTTTTCTTTGTGCTGTATGCATGTGCTCAGTTATGGCAAAGTAAACTTGAGGAAACTGAAATTAAACATTAATACAAATAAAAGCAGTAACAAATTCAATAAATATTGATATAGGACAGATTGAAAACTATAGAAAAATACTATAAAACATAATACATTGGAATTAAAGTGGTACAACTATTTTCTGTAATATAAAGGCAAAGTATCCCAAACATAATGACTTAATAAGAAATGCTAATAAGTTACCTGCTTGAGGCCTAACAGTTCAGGGTAATCAAAGATCATGAGGATGCTGCAGATGATGGCCCAGCAGAGGAAGTGCAGGCTGAAGCAGAGCAGAGGGAACCAGACGCTCCAGGGTGCATGAAGCACTGACCACAGACAGGGGGCGTCAGTCACAGGCTGCCAGTAACGCATCAAGATCTAACACAGGAGGAGAGTTGTGTAGGGAAACGTGTATAACAAAGCCAAAGACACGCTCAACTTAAACTGGTGTTTAAAGATGCTATTTTCCAAAATGCAGTAAAATGTCCATGGAATATATTTTAAATGTGTTGCAATACCTGGAGTGCCACTACAGTGCTGAAACAGTATGCCGTCCTGTTCAGGGCCCCCAGCCCTGACTGGAGAGCCTTTTTGACCGGAGCCCAGGCGAGCACACTGTGCTGTGTGATGAAGAGAGCCAGCAGCCCCAGATCCACAGCGAGAGACCCGAGGACAGAGCTGTCCCGCAGGGCCACAGACCACGGTATGGAGTCTTAGGTACGGGCAAATGACGTAAAGAGAAAAGTCATTTTATATTCTAAACACCAGTGGGGTATGAATATTGTTGTGAATTAATCAAAGGAAGCTATACGCGTTTGGTTTCCAACTTCACCACGAAGAACTTGGTGATATTGTTTTATGAAACAGGATTTGACATTGCCAATTTCTGTCTTACACAAAATCGTTAACATAGAAAAAAAAGAAAACACTACGTGCAATGCTGCCAACGAAAAGTTGTACGCCCAACGTGGGGCTCGAACCCACGACCCTGAGATTAAGAGTCTCATGCTCTACCGACTGAGCTAGCCGGGCACTGAACCCCTGTGGCGCATTGTTACAACTTCAACTCCATCTCATTCCTACTCTCATTGCTGATAACGAGACTTGTACTGGTGGTAGAATCACGTAAAATAACTTACCTAACAGTTGTGTTTTGCTCAATTTCAAATACATATTTCATGTTATAAAATACTATCTATGATACAGCGTAGCAGCACAGACAGCCATCTCATGTTAGACTTCATTAATGACCTCCTCCTCTAAAGTTAGCTAACTTCGCCCGGTAGCCAGCAGCAGCGGTCTAGTAGCTTACCTTGACACAGTGTCGTGTCCCCAGTGATGTTGTGGTAAATGGCTCGGAATGATATAAACCGAATAAAGTCTGCACCGGAAATGAAAACAAATGCAAAGTTTAGCAGAGAAACAGCGACGAGAGCCCACCTACGCACCGTGCCCGACGCCATTTCAATCAGCGTTGATATTCATTTACCAACTTCCAGAATGGTTTCTTCCGGGAGCACAGTTTGTGGAAGTATCGAGTATTACCACATGATGTCGCTGCTGGACCAGTCTTTTTCGGTTTGATTTCCCTTTTAGGTCTTCCAACAAGAGCAAACATTATATTGCATATTGATGATAGTGTTACTCATTTGTTTAGTTAAGTTGACATAAGGGACTGTTCAAGTTAACACACATGTTAAAAAGGCTATTTTTCATGCTTAGTTCCTGTCTAGGGTGTCTTACTAAAACACAGTCAAACATGACTTATCTGCTGTTTTCATACTGACTACAACTCTAACAAGAAACAAAGAGCACAAAACAAAACTCAAGACTTTTGCTCAAAATTGGAGTGACTTTATTGCAGGAAATTGTTCAAAATGCTACACATTCATTAGCTTAAATGTTATATTCTTAGTTTTACATTTACAAAACAAATATGTCAGAAAAACACAGACAGGTGTATGTCAACCTGCACCAGTCTTCAAATTAGGTTAACTTCACCCCTGTAGCACTCCGGGTGGTAATTTCTGTCAAATGATACCACTCGAATAGACCCCTGAGACCCCTGAAACAATACAAAAAGAAGGAGAATTTGTTGAAGTGTCATGGTGATATCAGTTGAATGTTTGGCCTTTAACACCTGTAGTGTCTCCTCTTAATTTAACAATGCATTCAGCTCACCTCGGTTGGCAGTATCGGCTCTCTGCATGCAGCACACAGAGGAGCTTTGACCCTGAAACCATAAAGAAGTCTCAGTAAAAGGTCACAGAAACTCAGAAGTGAAGACACTCTGGGTGTGACTCATCTGTTGTCTGTCTGGCACGGTTTGGTTTCCTCTTTTGTCTGGAGTGTGAATATAAACGCTTGGCCCATTGTTGTTGTTCTGTGTAAGAAACTCACTTGTGGTAGTCGCTGACACAGTACACTCTGCTCTCTGCGTCCACAGTGAACTGCTGCCCCTCCAGGCTCTGTCTGCAGACCACACAGCAAAAGCAGGACGGGTGGTAGGACTTCCCACGAGCCTGCAAGACCTGACAATGTAAAACAAGCTTTTAACACAACGTGAGAGCTGGTGGAAAGTTGTAAAGTGCCTTTTCTCAAACACTGTAGGCCTACTTATGTACAATTATAAAGTCATTGTACTTGCACTTTTAACTACAATACATTTATTTTATAACTTATATTGCTTTGCATATTCAGAATATTATTGAAAAAATATTTGTAACATATACAACTGAAAAAAGATACGACTGTATTCATCCCAAACACTATATAGAATGACAACACATATTAATGCATCAAATATTCTAATTCAGTTACAATAAATTGAAACTCTAAAATAGTTTTTGTGTTAATATGTTTGTACTTTTACTTTAGTAATATTCTGAATGCTGGAATTTATGTTACACTGTGGTATTGACACTTTCATTTAAGAGATCTGATAACTTGCTCCACCATCGATGAGGTCATGCACCACATATAGTATAAAACACAGTAAAGTAATACATACTCACCATGTCCATTAATAAAAACCCACAGCTGTTACACACTTCTGAGGATGGATGAACCCCTGGGTACTACATTAGATAACAACACTTTATATGGTTAATTGCCAATATTTCTCTGAATAATCTAGGTCGATCATGTTTGTGTAATATTTTACTCAGTATAAAGGTAAGCTCTAAATAAAGGATGTTCTTACCATAAAATCTTTCACACAGTAAATTCTTCCTGACACTGTATAAAACGGCTTTCCTGTGAGCTTTTCACCTGAACATGAAACAAAGGACAAAACACAAGGTGACCTATTTGCATAATGCAACATTTGATGACATACAAAAATATTAAAAAGTCATTTTTTGATAAAGAAAACAACACATCAATTCACGTTCACAAGCGGGTTTAAGTTATTTAAAATGCAAAACATCACCCTCACATCAAGATGACTCACTGCAAACACAGCAGGTGAAACAAGTGTCGTGGAATAAATGTCCCATCGCACGACACGCTCTCCCTTCCCCGTACACCGCTTTCCTGCAGCCTGTACAGCTTCCTGAACACACAACAAAGAAGAGAAACACAAACAAACTGGTTACGGGGAACCCTACAGAAGAGTATAGGTGCCAAGCCATCCAAGAATTAACAAATGTGTAGAATAAAGTCAAAACGTTGACATTTTGAGAACCAAAAATAAATATATCAAGAACATTTCCAGAATGTTAATTTCTTACCAAAGTAAAGACTGGGACTAAAACTTGGGTCCATCCTCTAGAGTATTTCTCCAGTTGTCTCTGCCTGCTGGAGGCTACGTTACAACTGTCTGGGGTCTAATTTTATGTGCTGGGCAGACAGCTGTAAGTGGAGCTGCTATCTGGGATCATGGGTGTTGCATTCGGTGCTTTTGCTCTGAGACTTCCTCAGACCCTCTGACTTCTCCATGGTGGCGGAGTGGGTGGCAACAGGCAAGACCAACTAGTACCTTTTTGCACAATTTAGAGATACATAATCTTTATTTATAAATGATGTCATTGGATAATATTTATTGATATTGTGTGTATCACTTTCTGGTATATTTTATCATTTTATATTCTGCTGGCTAGTTTCCCCCCCTAGGGTTCAGTTTAATGTATATCTATAATATTACATCATAATCTATTTGTAGATAATGTTTTGTGTTATGTTATGAATCTGAATGTTCAAATTCATTATCAGATAAATGTTCTGAAGTAATAGAATGGAGAAGCAAATAGAAGAAGAACCTAAACATTCTACAGAACTTGAAAAATAGTTATTTCCCACCACACACCCAAGATGTATTCAGATCCCTTGAGTAAGTTAAATGATTGTCAAAGTACTACAATTCAAATATTGCGTATCTCCTATTTTCAGTATCAAAAGGCCCTTTGTCTTTGAGTGTTACAATAAATATTATTAATGCATTAATTAGAAAAGCAGCTTTCTCTGTTGAAACTGATAGAGATGGAGCTTGGTTGAATGACTTGATGCACAGGTAGTTTTGTGCACTGGTTTTCAATCCTCTAGGAGGTCAGAGGTCAAGCAAGGAAAATGTAATTGTGTGGATAGTAAAACATAATGTTAACTAGGATTACAGGTTTAGATTACATAAAACAGCATACATGCAACTCTAGACCAAAAGTATTCCACGTGTGGGCCGTCTGACATGTAGGTTTCCACATCATTATTTTTACAGTGTGCCAATGGGTGTGGTCATACTACCCCGAGCGATGAGTCTCTATGTATTACTGTAAACTCAACAATCTGTATATCCATGAGGAACATTTTGAACAGGAGCCCTGAAACCTCTTTCAGACATTACAACTTGATGCTGCTCATATATCTTGTGTTACTGCCCTCATGTGGACTGTTCAGGCATTTTATATCCTATGACCTAGAACCAGGCCCGCCCAAATAACAAATGCTGTTATTTGAGCCAAGATATCAGAACAAATTGTAGCTAAACAATTTAGTTGCCTGAATTTAGTTTGAATTGAATGACTCTAAACATTACTTTTCTCATAGTTTTTCCTCACATTGTCTTGGAATTGATCTGCATCATCAACAATAAACAAGTATTCATAACACTATTTGACACATTGTGCAACCTATTATTTCTGTACACTGCATCAATAGCACATTGTCAATGATCTTATCTGATACGCCATGAAACTCCCTACAGCACATGTTTGGCTCTCCTGGGTCTGCTACAGTAACAGTGGAGGGGAAGTGTATGACAGCTGCTGATTCCTCACTGAAGTCTCTTGTTCAGACCCACTGAAGCTGTTCACCACACCGCCCACTCTGCACTCTGTCAGACTGGTTTAACAAAAAGCTTGGAGTCATTTTTGTTTGAATGTAAACATGTGTGATTGGGGGGACCAACATGTCCTTACACAAAACACAAAAAGTGAGCGCTTTCTTTCTTTCCTTTTTACCATTTGTATTCCTTCCTAGGCTATGTTGAGTGATTTAAGTTAGGGGTTTAAAGGGGAACGAATGATAATGTTGAAAAAATGGCTTGGGGGGGGGGGGGAACCGATACTGAGGATAAGTTTCAGACATGTCACATTCAAACGTATTTAATGATAAATAGGTTAAGCTTAGAAAACTGTACCACAAATGTGTGTTTGCAAGACGTGGTCTTGCCCTCAGGTAGCTATGTTTGTTTCTGTGCAGGAATGTCTGCGTCATGATAAGGCATGTGGAGGCAGGAGGAAAGCCTCTGTGACATGGAAGTATTATTCACAGCATAGACATACTATCTTGACACCAAGCATACACACTAAATGACATTTTCATTATCATTTCACCATGGGAAAAAAATGCAACTGACTAAACAAAACCTGACTTTTAAATGTAAACACATTACTCATTCAAACTGTCACCACACGTATGACATCATTCTAATTAAGTCCTGTTGTCTATTCAAATAATACTATCAGATTAGAGGTATTAGAGGTATTAGGCTACTATTGATTTTGGGTAATTCAAACATCCTCTATTTTGAGCTCTAGTTTCCACACCCCTGCTCTGCCTTCACATTTTGGGGAAACACCGCACCATGCCAACTATCCCTGGCATGTTTGGCTCTTTATAAATAGGGCATCCATTGTGCCACACAGTGAAGGGAATCATATTAGGACCCAGAAGTCTTAACCGTGTTTTGCAGCTCTGCAGTGTCTCGGCTCAAGGGTACAACGGCAGTGACAGATCCTCCTCACCCATCAAGTTTGGGCAGGTAACCGTAACGTGCCTGAGGTCCACGCCCTCCTGCGCACAGGTAATGCAGAGCAGGAAGTGGCTGTCAACGCCGTCGTTGTCGCTGCTACATGAATGATAATGCAACCGTGTATTTAGGAGAGAAACAGCACCTTATATATTATCTTTTTTTTAAAAACTTTTCTATCTTTTTAAACAACCGGAAAATCCCATTTTCAGTGAACATGTGGCTTTGTGCGACCTACGCGCTCCTGGGACTTTTGTTTTTGACTGTCTTCGACTCATCAGGTGGGAATCGGGATAATAAACTGTTTTAGCAAGAAACATATGTTCTTATGCTGTTTTGTGAAGCTTTGTTTGTCAATGCTCTCACTTTTCCTTTTTAAAGAAACTGCTAAAACAAACATTGTGTCTTAATTTCAAGTTTGTGCGAATTGGGTCAAACATACAAATGAGTTGAGTGCATGCTGTCTATTGTGGGGAAACGCACTCAGGCGAAACCTCAAGCAAATAAGTAGTCATGGAAAGCACTCTGGCTAAAACCAGCCGTTTTAAAAGCTCAATAAATTAAAAGATGATAGCAAACATTACGTTAGCTTTATGTATCATTTACTGGCTTGACAGTGGAGATGAGAGGCTACAGCACAAACACAGTCTGTTTGTGACTTCTGGACCTCCATTTTCAAAAGGTTTATGAGGCATTTATGGAACTTCCTGGGGGCATGAAATCATCATGGCTTCATCAATGATTGACCTGCAATCTGCTGCTGAGCTATCAATCTGGCAGGCGTTTTATCATTGTTTTTGCTAGATTTAAACTCAGTGCTTTCCCCTCGCTAATTCATATTTTGGGGGAAATGTCATAAGCACAATGGAGGATTTGTTCTCTTTTATAGTTGTTGTGCAAATGATCAGATGAACTTCCTTTCTCCCTCTAAATATGACTATTTGAACCCTGTGACTCCCTTGACCCAAACAATGTTTACTGTTACAAGAAACAGTACTGCACTGTTGCTCTGTGGTGCTTTCAAGTCCTTGCAAGTTCAAATGGTAAATTATTTGCTTCTTTTATATGTGAGCTAACTGCACTATGCTTTAAAAACAGTAAGTATTTTCCAGTGAAACTACAGCTGCTATATAGCTTTACAGCTGCTGGTGTATCACATTTAGATGGAACTAACATTGTCATCTAAGTCTGTAAAAGGCAATTTTCCTAAAGGGAGAAGTTGGCATTTCCCACCTTTTTTAGAGTCAAATATTACAAAACAGCAGTAACTGTTTAAAACTGGTCCACCTCGAGTTTCTCTCTTTACCCAGCACTTTGGTGACTCACATGAATGTGAAGTCAATACATTTGATTTGGTCTGTCACTACACACCATGGGGATAGGTGTGCCTGATACCACTCTGTTTGCTCAAGTGTTTGTGTGTGCAAGTGTTTGTGTGTGCAAGTGTTGACCTTTTATAGCCTAAATACTACTGAGGGGTTGAATTTACATTAAATAGTTTTCAGGAGAGCTGCTCAAACTGATCCCTCAGCAGATTCATATGATCAACACTCATACTCAAGAACCTTAAACCAAAGAATGTTTTATATTTATGTCTTTATCAAACATGCTAAACAGTTATAACTACATTTCATGATAATCCCTCCAATGGTTGTTGAGATATATCAGTCTGGAACAAAGCAGTCAACGAACTGACAGATATTTCCATACTAAGAGCTAGCTAGCTTATCCAAGAAGTACCTTAATGACTTAATGATTAATTTGTTGCCAAAATAGTTGCAGATTCATTTTGTTGATCCACTAATCAATTTATCAACTTAATGTTTCCATGTTATCCATGTTATTTATGACATGGAACAATAATGCTTATGTGCAACATCCAAAGACTCGAGTCCAAATGAGGTTATCTTCCTTTGCACACTATCCAACATCTGACGTCCTATTGAAACCTAATCCAATCATAGATCACATATTTAGATTACGATGACAGTAAATAAAATGTTCATGGAATTTGCATAACCCTCTGTGCTCTGTTCCCTCAGAATGCTTACAGACGGTGGTCCGACCTGACAAAGGCTCGACAGTGACGGTGTCCACTGAGCTGTCGCTGGATCAATGTGCTGTGTGTACAGTCAGTGGGGTGAACGACACACAGACGTCCTGCGACTCCTCTCTGGCTCTGGTACCTGAGGAGGAGGTCAAACTGCTGTTCAACTGCTCCCAGCCCCTCGAACAGGGTTACACTGTGACGATCGCCAGTATCATTGGTGAGTTTTCTAGAGTTGCTCTTGTTCAGGGACTTAAAGGACAAAGTAAAGTTTTACTCTGAAAACTCCTTGGCATGTATAGATTTTGAAATGAGAAACCCCTGATGAAGAGTTGTATAGTTGTGGCTGTTAACAGGTGGGATAATTTCACTTTTCAAGGGTCAACCTTCTCAACAGCTACCTTGAGTTAAAGGACCTGAAAACCAGCATTAGCTTCCTCCAACCCTAACATCATGGTGACTTTTGATAAATCGTACATTCTTGGGATAAGACAATTCCTATGACATAAAGATGTTCAATACACATCAAAATATAATTGATACACTTACACATGAACTACATGAACTACACATTCACCAGAGA